TTTCATTGCCTCTGGATAAAAGCTCCAATAGATCCCATGACTTTTCTGCCCATGTTGCATAATAGGGTCATGATGACTTCTAGAAAAACCACAGTAATTAAAACAGCCAGCTACATATCATGATCAAAGTTCTCAATGCAATTTAAAATTAAAACTTCTTTCCTTGTCTGCTAGGCTGACTTCAGGGTGTCTTGAAGAAAGACTTGAAAGTCTGCTTCCCTCTTTTCTTATTCTTCCATTTTCCTCACTCCTGGACTTCTCACTAAGTGTTCTGGCCCCTAGAAGACTGAAGTTTGCGAGGGAAAGAAGGGAAGGGGGTGGAGAAAGTTTTCACTAGCTGATGCTGATGTAATACTGTTCCCTGCTCTCTGAGCCTGGTAGATGTTTAAAGGTGATGCTTGCTCTAGGGGACCTTATGAGTTCCTTAGATCCCTCGCTCTCTATCGCACCCTCTGCAGAGGCCTGAACAAGGCAGGCAGGTATTGCTTCTCCTTTGACTGGCTGCTCTCACATTCCCTCCTCCAGCTGGCCCTTTGTTGTTGGCTTACTGATGTTCACTCCTTCTTGTTCACCAGCTCTCTCTGTTGGAGGTTCCCACTCCTTCTCACACAGACTGCTGACTGATGTGCCTACTATGGGTTTCCCATCGGGACCTCAGGGGTCATGCACCTTTCACCTGCAGTTGAAGGCGAGCGCATTTACTTTGCACACAGCACAGCAGCAATTCTCTTTCTCTCTTTCCTGATACCTGGTAAGAGTAACATCCCTTCTTCTTTAGATTCCTCAGGCAGGTGGAGAATGGAGTCTAAGCTGCACATTCTCCCCCACCCCTCAAGTTTGGGTGACACTGGAGGACTCCTGGCAGCTACTCCCACTCTGCTTGGATTGGAAAATAGCTTTCTACCCTAAATTTGCTGGGTGGGGTACAGACAAAAGTCTCTCCAAAGAAGTCTCTTTACAGTAAAACTCCTTCATATCACCTCTGAAGAATTTTCACATGCCCTTAAAATGAATATAAGACTTTGAAAAGCCTGAGGTACATTTATGTGGAGAGTTTGCATTTTGGCCTCTCATAATCCACTTTAGTACGGGACAGTGATCACATCACAACCCTCTAGTTCAAGTCACCATATTCTCAAATTCATGAAATACTTGCTCTGTGTACTATCCTCAGAATGTTGTGGGAGACACAAAGCAGAAGACACAGTCCTGGCCTCAAGATGTTTATCACATAATGGAATGACAAAATGCATATTTATGAAAATGCATTGTACGTAGCAGGTTCCCAGTGGACCATGTATAAGAATCTACAGTCAGGCAACATTAGAGCATACTTAGAAAAGTTTTAGGGAAAAGGCTTTCAATGATAAACAACGCTAGCTCTTTAGATATGAAAACTTGATATTAAGTCAGATAAGCAAATACTGACTATGTATCTACCATGTGTAGGTTGTTGTAGATAACATGGAATACTAACTAGTCCCTGCGCTCAATGAGCTTAATAGAAAAGACA